TTTTTGAAACTTTACTCAAAGATGATGTAGCTACCGATTTTGCCGTTTAATTGATTCAATCGAGCGTGGTGCTTTTGCAAAATACAACTCAGATCAGATAATCAAAAGGCGGCGCACGTAGCTAAAAATGGCACCCAAGGATTTATGTGTCAAAGACGATTCGGGCGCCTTTAGTAAGTATCAATATCCGCTTTTTCTGTTATAATATAAGAGCAGTCCATCCATAAAATATAAAGGTACAGTTTTCTGCGTTCCTTAACTACAATATACACATAGGATTGTTGCGCCCCACTATACAGCATAACTACGCCAGTGGGTACAACAAAATACAACTCGTATAGATAATCAAAGGCCAGCATACAGCTCTAAAATGGCATCCAGGGTTTTGTGTTAATAGTAATACCTTAGATGTGACGTGAGGCGATCTCGAAGATCCTTTTTATGATTCGGAAGCATTTAAGAATTAATACCCGATGTTACTGTTATAACATAAGAATGGCACTTCCGACAATTGGCCTAAAATACACAGGTTCAGTTTTCTGCTCTTCTTAAATAATTATACATACAGGATTGTTGCGCTCCAGGACACTACATAACGAAACCAGTGGTTTCGTTATACCCAGAAACAAAATACCTCTACTATTAGGCATCAGATAATCAAAGGCCAGCGCACATAGCTCAAAAATGTCACTCAGCATTTTGCGTTAATAGTTTAGATGCGGCGCCCTCGAAGATCATTTTTACGACTCGGGCGCCTTTAGTACGTATCAATATCCGCTGTTTCTGTTATAATATAAGAGTGCTACATCCCACAATTGGCCTAAAATATATAGTTGCAGTTTCCTGCGCTCCTAAACTACATTATACATATTGGATTGTTACGCCCCAGAATCCTACATAATGAAGCCAATGGGTACAATAAACAACGTCTTATACTTTAGATTTTCTGGTAAATTAGTAAGTACCAACTATTATATCACCAAAACGGTCACAACAAATGGCTTAATGGGAGCCATAACAAATGGCTCCCAAATCCTAACGTTTTTTCATATGCTGCTTGATGCGCTCAATGCAATATACCAGTATAATTTATTACCTAAGTTTGGTTAAAGAACCAATTAATAATATTGCCCTTAAATTTATATGATTTAAATGATATACATTAAGTTCTAATATTTAAGACCATCTATAGTTATTACGCTTCATTTGCATTGGCTAGAGGGGCCTATCACTTCAATGGGGGTATATAAAAAGAAAGTGTTTTTCTCTTTGGGATGGTATTTACTTCTAAATTTTTGAATTTCGGTTTTCCCAACGCGTAGATTAAAGTTTTATCTCAAAGCAAAATTATATCGGTGAAAACTATTTTCAGATAATGTGAAATACTTACTAAAATATTCCCAACCGATCGCCATGATTTTCCTTATTTTTTTTTTGAACGTGAAGATCTTCTGTAGAAATACTTAAAAAATCATATTACTCAGTTTTAAAAAATATATTGGAGGTTCCATGGAGTACAAAAGTGTAGGTAAACGCGTAGGTCTCTTAATCGGAGTTTTACCCTATAACCTTTTCAACGAGGATCAGATCAATTGCAAGGCAATTTTCTTGCCAGGAGCCGCCGTAATTCCAGCTGCAAGAGTATATGTTGCGGTTTAAAAGCTCGTAGTCGAATCTGTGCCCTGGGCCGCACGGTCAAAATAAACTTATTTTTAAGGAAAATTGTGGCTATTCGCAATAAAAATAGTAAATTATTTTATGAATTTAAAAAAAAACTCACAAATATATACATATATATATATATATATATATATATATATATATATATATATATATATATATATATATATATATATTATATATATATATATATATATATAATATATATATATATATATATATATATATAAGCGAGGTTCCTACAGCCTCTGCCGTTTCTCGCATTTCGACCGCCATCGTTTTCTGTCCATTCGTCTTCTCTAATGGCTCTATCTCTCATTATGTGCCGTACATTTTCTTCCCAGGCAACTGAAGGCCTTCCCCTTCTTCTTTGTTGTGGTATGTAATTTAAAGCTTTCTTTGGCCATCTATCTTCATTCATTCGTTTCACGTGACCATACCACACTAGTTGTCTCGTTTCAATTCTATCTACACTGGAATATACAGTATTTGTCCTCCTTCTAATATCTTCATTCCTGATGTGATCTTTTTTGGATATACCACACGCTCTCCTTAGAAAATCCATTTCTACTACTTCTATTCTTTTTCTATCCTTCTGCGTTATCTGCCAAACCTCTGCCCCATAGGTCATAATAGGCTCTACCAAGGTTCGATAGATTGTTAATTTCGTTTCTTGTCTAATATCTTTAGACCAAAGTAGAGAGTTTAGAATGTTTACCACTTTTTTTCCCTGCTGTGTTCTGTTTTCGATGTCTCTTTTGGTAGTGCCTTCTTTAGATATTATAGATCCGAGATATTTATATTCATTGCATGTTTTTGTGTTTCTAATTTCTAACTCTGGATCTTCTTCACCATCTCCTATTTTAAGATACTCTGTCTTTGCCATATTCATATTGAGGCCCCATTTTTCATATTTTCTTTAGTTTTCTAAACATGTAGTCCATGTCTTCCTCGTCATTCGCTACGACTACCTGATCATCTGCGAAAAATAAAGTTGTTAGACATTCACCACCGCCTATGCCTATTCCCATTACGGATACTTGTTTTCTCCACTGCTCTAGCGATGATTGAATATATATTTTAAACAGGGTCGGAGACAGACAACATCCTTGTTTAAGATAAAAAACTCACAAATAATATTGATTTACTTTACATGTATTATGATTGCAAAAAAGTTTGATTTAAAAAGTGAGGAGGGGGTCTGGCGCATTAGTTTAGATGTTTATTTCTGTATGTCGTTTAGACAGCCTTCTAGATTTTTAGGTTTTGTAGTTTGACATCCTACTTTATTTACTGGATATCTATCACAGATATCTCTCTATAACAAATAAATAGAGTTCATTGCTTGTTTTATTACTTTTCCATCAACTTCCAATTTACGTTATATTATTTCTTTAGAAGTAATCATAGTTTTTTTAGTTGCCTTGCCATAATCGGACATATCCTTTTTGTATGTCTGTTTATTTCGGCAGATAAACTCACGATGCCAAATTTTATTAAATAAAAGTTCCGTGATCCTGTATTACATTATTTGATGCATAATTTTGGCAGGTGGGAGTAGCATATTAAAGACTTCTATAATTATTTATTAGTAGGTACATATAGTTGTGATACCAGATTGCAAACGACGAGGCATGCTTTGGATCAGATTTGAGATCGCGTTCTGCCAGATATGAGTATGAGGTCACAACCTCAAACAGATCAATCGTGGTTATGTGTGGATGATTGTTATGTAGTCTATCCACTATCATGATCTTTCTCTTTGATATGTTTAACTGCAGACCAAATATTTGACTTTCATTTTCAATCAATCCTATGAGATCCATTAACTCTTCTTGACCATTTGCAACAAGAGCTGTGTCACCTGCAAAACGTAAGTTGTTTATTTTTCGGTCATTCATTGAGATGCCCTTTTTCCATACTTCAAGCGCTCTTCTCAACATATGCTCTCTATGTACAGGGTGTAAGAAAATACGCGGGACGGTCGAATATTTCGTGAACTTAACACGGTATCAAAAAACTGAAAAATATATGGTTAATATTTTCCAAAAATTTATCGAATAACACCAAACAAGATATCTTATCTTCACGCTCTGGGAATAACTTTAGAAGAATTATTTATATTGCAGATTCATATTTTGCGTAAAAAATCAAACAAGCGTTATCTGAAATTTTGTTTCGATTCGCGATAGATGGCGTTGTAGTTGCAAGAAAACAAATACTGATCAAAACAAGTCTGCAAACTAATTTTTATGGTATAAATTAGTTTTCTAAAGAATTCAAATCTGCAATAAATAATGGAGGTTCGTATTTAAGATTTCAAAGTTGTCCCCTTCCCCACCCTCAAATTTTTGAAAAATATTGAAAACGTGTTTTTCAGTTTTTTTATCCAATGTAAATTCCGCGAAATGTTCGACTATACCACTTCTTTTTTCCCACCCTATAATATATTAAATAATTGTGGAGATAATATACATCCTGGTCTGACACTGTTCTGGACGGAATTCGTTTGAGAGTGTGCCAAGCACTTTAACTGTTCCAGTAGTGTGTTCGTATCGTTCAATTATAAGTGTTGTGGTGCGACTACTTCTTTAAATATCTGCCATAAGTGTTGCCATTTGACCGTGTCGAACGCTTTGCAATAAACTATAAAACAAATGTGTACTGGAATATTGATTTGCCTTGATTTTTTTTATCATTTGTCTTATGTTCAGGTGTTCCGAGTACTTCTACCTTTGGTAAATACAGTTTCCTCTTGGGATATTTCTCTTTGTAGGAAAGTGTTCAATCTCTCATTGATTATGTGTAGCATTATTTTGCTGGCATGTGAGATAATTCTATAGTTGTTGCATTTATGGAAGCTGCCTTTTTTATGAATTGTCGTTATTGTAGATTTTGTCCAGTTGGCAGGCTATTGCTTGGTACGCCATAACTTTGTTACAGAACAAGTGAAAAGCAATTTTATTCCGGTTTTTTCTGTGGCTTTGAGCATTTCTGCTGTTATCATATCTGGACTTAGTGCTTTGTCATACTTGAGTTTACTGAGTATACTGGATTCTTCGATTTCTTCAGGGACTTAGTGAACAAGTCTATTTTAATATGGATTCCGTAAGCTTCTTTATTGGAGCAAGTGCACTTAATATACTTCTTGGGGTAAGCATGTTTAGTTTAATTTCTTTGTTATCTATTTATCTATCAATATTATTATAGACACCAATAATGGTCTGCGTATTAATGCTTCACCAAGAACTATTAAAATTTCACTTCCTCTGGCTAAAACAGCTTCTTTTTTAGAGCAGTAAAATAAAAAAAAAACAATTATGTAGCAACAGCTTTTATTACCTTCATGTGCAACATGTCACATATATTAACATACTTAAAAGACAACTGTGTAAATCTTAAATATATATATTTATAGATAAATGAAGTGTATAACAGCGTCAGGCACTACTTTTCAAAAATATTTCAAAAAATTGACATTAACGAGAACAAGTACAAAATAAAATTTCTATGCAATACGAATATAGTTTTAACGGAGCTACAATATCATTAATACATATTTATTTTGAATAATTTATTAAAAAAATATTTAGGCAGAATCCTCTGGGTTTTGCATTACTTGTTATCTTCAATGGTTTGTTTTAGTCTTTCGTAGTTAGCTCCGCTGAAATTCGCGATTTCTTGGCGGTTCTTCAGGAAAATGAATGTGGGCATAGACTTGATGTTGTATTCCATAGCGAGATCTTCGCATTCATCAACGTCGATCTGAAAATAAAAATAAAAATAAGTTGAAATAAATCCTATGGATTACGTAACAGTTACAATGTTGAACATACATATTTATTGTAATAAGACAATACTCATGCATAAAATAGATTGCGTCGATATTCATGGTCAAAACTGCATGACAATACCACTTGTCTAATATTCTTAATAGTAAAAGGACTTCAGGTTTGTCAAATACGAGGTCTGTCTATTAAATAATGAGACTGCGCGCGCAGAAGGCGTCCCAGAGGGGAAGAGCGGGAAACGAATGCAGAATTGTATGGCTGGAAGTGTTCTTCGAGTACGAAAACTCGTTTTTGTCGCTGTAGTAGTATTTTTTCTGTAGAGGTTAGAAAATAACGTGTTTTTTTCTCGTGCCGATAACAATGTGTGACGAACGGATTAATGTGAAATTTCTCGTTAAATTAAAAAAAAAAAACTCCGACTGAGTACTGTAATTTGTTGAAAGAGGCCTATGGTGAGAATTCTCTATCTCATGCGAGTGTTTTTGAATGGTATAAACGGTTTTCTGAAGGCCAAGAGAGCGCTGAAGATTACCAACGTCCAGGTCGACCTGTCTCTGTTTCAACTCCGCAAACAGTGACTAACATAAATGAAATTGTGAGCGAAGATCGTCGTCAAAAAAGAGTAGAGCGAACATGCTGTACCTAGCGACAGGCTAAATTAACGCCAAACAAAATATCAGACAAACCTTAGATTTACAAAACCTATCCGCAACAGTGTCCCTCTCTTTGGTATTCAGTTGTGCACATATTCGTTGTTAACACAAGCTGTGGCCATTTTGTAATTTTTGACGTCTAAAGTATTTTTACCGGCTGTTTCGTCTTATTGCAAATTATCAATTTGACTGTAGTAAATAATCATGTTAAGATGATATTAATCGTAATTTAGGCTACCTAATCCACTAATCAAACCGTTGTATTTGTTGTGGCTAACGACCTAATCGACTGCTTTTATACATGGGATCCCCCTGTTGTACCTAGGAACATGCATTTGCCAATGCAAATTTCCAACGCCGACCGTGCGTATAGAAGTATAACTTCAAAAATATCCTGCTTGCTGGGACGATACAAAAGAAGCAGGAAATAATTGGATTAGAGGTTTCCGAAATAGACATTCTGCATCTTTATCACTTAGAAAACCCGAGGGTACAAGTTTGGACAGAGCAACTGGATTCAATAAATAAACAGTTGCTATTTTCTTTCAATCCTATAAAAATGCGTTAAGGAAAAGAAATACGTTAAAGGTAACATGTACTAGTTACTGTGATATGTTGTATTAATGATGGTGGAAATACCGTGCCGCCTTTATTTGTGTTTCCGAGAATGAATTTTAAAAGTCACATGTTGAAAGGGGCACCACCTGGAGCAATAGGAGCTGCAAATCCGAGTGGATAATGATGTATTTTTTCAATTCCTAGAAAATTTCATATCTCATGTTAAACCTACTTTGCAGGATAAGGTTATTTTATTGTTAGATAACCATGAAAGCCATGTTTCCATACCCACTAAAGTTGGCAAAACGTTCGGGAGTCATTTTAGTTACTTTTCATCCCCATACATCACACCGATTGTAACCTCTAGCTTTATCTGTTTTTGGACCCTTTAAGTCTTTCTACAATAATGCAATGGCTAATTGGATGAGTTCTGGTAACGCAGGGAAACCAGTTACCAGACGTAGCAGAGTTGGCAAATACGGCATACTTGACGGCATTTAGTCCAACCAATATAACCAAGGGCTTTCAAGTACCAGGTCTATACCCCTTAAACGGTGATATTTTTATTGTACAAGACTTTTTGCCATCTAACATAACCGATCGGGAGGATCAGTATTTACACAACCCTTCCTGTTTATTCTGACCTCGATCCACCGCATTGTGATGCTTCCGAAACAGACCCTAAGCTTTCATGTTTTGGTTTAACGTCATCTTCCACACCAGAAGCTAAGTTGGATTTTCAAGATCCAATTCCAGTTATGTCAAGTTTTATTTCTCCATATGAGGTTCGTCTCATTCCAAAAGTTTTGCCGCGCAAAGGGAACGTTTCTAACGGGCGCATAAAAGGAAGGTCTCGCATTCTTACCGACACCCCAGAATTTAATGAAATAAAAGAAAGTAAGAAAGACAGTATGGAAAAGAAGCGCAAAAAGGAACAGCAAGAAACAAAAAAGTAAAATGTAAGCTAAATATTGAAGATACGTCGTCAGAGAAAGATCAAATTGATTTTGAGATTAGAAGTGACAGCAGTAATTGTAATAATTCTTTTTCAGATTTATTGATTTGAAATTATTTGAAATTGATTCCATTCAATTTATTCCAGATGATCTTCAGAAAGGTGATTTCATTTTGGTAGACGAAACAGAGTTCCAAATAAAATATTTAAAGAAAGCTCATTCCTTTGCACATGGCTATACATTTACGGTTGAAGATGAAAAGGAACATACAACTAACATCAGCGATATAATACAAAAACTTTCTCAACCAAGTACAGCAGGTTCATCCTATCCACAATCAAACACATTTATCTTTCCAATATCTTTTGATGTATTTTTGTTTTACACTAAGTATAACTCTTCGTGTCCATAGGTACAACAGACCGGTTGTTCCTAGGGATACGTACGTACATACATAAAAAAAGTGATAAAATGGGTAGAAATATATAAGTTTGAAAATTGGCATTTTCGAATTAGCTTTACAAACGTATGATCAACTGTCCAGATTTTATTATTTTTTAATATCTTTATTTGTCTAATTTATAAAAATCAAATTGTAAAAATTGTCCCTAGGTACAACACGTTACCCTGTTCCGTTCAATAGTCATAAGCCTGTTTGAATTAAGGAAAGCCTCTCATAAAACATTTCGCAACAAGTTAATTGTATAGTAGCCAATAAATAATAATTTAACAATAATTTTGTTGAATTTTATAGTTTAGTTAACCTTGACAATTCTTTTGTGGTTGACTGGAATTGAACAAATAGTAAACAAAATTGAACAACAAATATATCTTTCTTTTAACTACGAACTTATTAATATCCTCTAGTAGTGAAAAAAAAAACATCCAAGTCAAAATCGAATCCTACCGAATGAAAAATTATTATTTTATTGAAAAATCAGAAAAATAAAGAATTGCACTAAAGATTGTAGGAATAATTTAGTCTACGAGAAAAACAATCTGAAAAAATCAGAAGGCAATAAATCTCAAAGTTTACAATATAAGTCTCTTACAATGTGATAAATGTTTTAATAGACATTCCTCTTTCTTTCCGAAAAGCAAACAAAAGAAAACAAGGACACTTCGACCGATAATCTTGATTTTGGCAACCTTCCAACCAAACCGTTTTGTTAACATGGCTGGCTATGTAACAGTTGAGTCAAGGATGGTATAAAAACGCACAGAAAACCTTGAATATTTTTTTCTATACGACGGTAAACTACTCTCCGAGATGGAATAGTTTTATAACAATAAAATGACGTAATAAAATATCTGCTTCCACATTATTTAGCACGTAATAGATATATGCGATATTAATAAATAAAATACGATTATTATTTTACCAGTCATGCCTTGAATTTACTTATAAAATTTAACAGATAGGAACATTTTGGTAAAATAGTATTCTTTTAACCTTTGGACTTCAAATTAGCTATTCAATTAGGATTGTAGAATCACTTATACGTCAAATTAAATATATTTTTCACTAAAAAAAAAAAAACTGGGAGAAAAGGTATAAAGTAACTTTTTAAATATTAGACACCAAAGTACAGAAAGTAGTACTTTCTATTAGAGACGCCTAATCGTCTCAATTTTATAATTCAAACTATGTACAAAGTTTAAACATAATAATAAGTTTTGTAACAGCGCTAAATTATTGTGTAGCTAATCAAGTGGATGCAAGCCGCACAAGACAGATGGAAAGAGCTGAGGGAGACCTATGTCCAGCAGTGGACGGATACAGGTTGATGATGATGAATTCAGTGTTCAAAATGTCCTCAGTTATTAATTTGACACTATGTACTTTGTACATTGCCTCCCATAGTTTTAACTTTGGTACAAAGTCATACGCCATTCTCAGGTCCACAAATGCCAAAATTACATCTCTATTTTTTGCTTTTTTCTTTTCGTGTAGTTGTTCGAGTGTGTATATGTGGTCTATGCATGATCTTCCTGTCGTGAAGCCTGCCTGATCTCCCCGATTTTGCCTTTTGTAGCTTGCTGTATCTTTTCTCGCAGTATCTTACTATTGATGATATTACGCTTATTCCTCTATAGTTTTCGCATCGTTTTCTATCTCCTTTCTTAAATATATATGCCATATGCCTCCGTCCATTCCTTTGGGAGTCGTTCTTCATTTATGGCTTTCTGAAATATCCATTTTATCATCCGGTGTAATTTTTTTAAGCCGTACTTTAAAAGTCCAGGTGAGATTCCTCCAGGTAACGGTGTTCTCTTATTTTTGATTGCTTTTATGGCCGTTCTCATTTCCATCTGCTCTATTTCTTGTTGTGGGGATCTGCTTCGTCTTCGCCTGTTTTCTTTTCCAATGAATTGTGGTCTTTGTCCTTTTAACAGTTCCTTGTAGTAGTCCTTTCATTATTTGTCCTGTATATTTCACAATTTAATTTTTTCTTTTGAGTTTTGCTTTAATCCTCTCAGTACTGTCCTTGACTTCGAAGTTCTTGTACCTCCTATGTATGTTTTAACATTTAAGCAGGTTCCTTCCTATTCTTCATTCTTTTGATGCGTTATTTTGTTTTTTCACTACTCTATATTTTGTTTTACAGCTTTTTTCTTCAGTTTATTTGTTATATGCTCTTTCTTTCCACGGGCTTCGAATGTTGCTTATTTTCTCCTCGCCTTCATATGCTCGTATATTTCTTCGATGTTGCCGTATCTGCATTCTATTAATTTTTGGTCTAGACGTTGTTTGTATAATTCTCTTATTGATTGTTCTTAGAGTACTTCTATATTGTATTGTTTTTCTCTTATAGTGTTCAATGGTTCTTCTGTAGAAGGGGTCTTGTTATGTTTCCAATTAATGCTCATTTTTGCTGTCAGTACTTTATGGTCAGTTCCACATTCTGCTCCTCTTCTGACATTCATATCTTTTATCTTTATTGTGGTATCTTGTTTGACTCTTACGTACTCTATTATCGATTTCAGCTTGCGTGTTTCTGGCGTCCATGTATATTTATGCATATTTTTATGTCTGAAGAATCCGTTGATGATTTTTAGGTTGCTTAGTTCGCATAATTCAATCAGGGTTTTCCGTAATCGTTTTGTTCATCCTCTCCAAATCTCCCCACTACTTTATCGCTTTCTTTCCTTCCGGTTTCTGCCGTTAAGGACTCCCTGTTATAATTATCTTTTCATGAAGAATGTATCTCTTCGTGTATTTTCTTCATAAAAAAAATTTTATCACTATTAGCATACTTTGCATTTGTTTACCAAAATTATTATTGCCAATTCCCTAAGCTGTTTATTTGAATATACTCATTGCACTTTAGAGTTCCATAGGCAATGGTATAATTTGTATAGTGAGAAAGTTTTCCCAAAATTCGCGATCTGCCATATTGAAAATCAAAATTGTATACACTTTAAGTAGCGCAATGCCAAAAATCAACATATTCGTTGAGACTTTGAGACAAGTCTCAGTTGCATGCGCGCGGTATCAAAGTTTCATGACAGTGACACAAACGGCGACACATTCTGATACTGATGCAGCGATACCGAGACAGCCAAGTACAATATGAGTTTTGTATCGACATACTGAAACTTGCGACAGGTACCCATACCGATCTCAACGTGAATAGTACCCATTATGGAAACATTATCAACGCCCTCGTATTTATTAATTTTTTTAGTTCTGCTACTCAAAGATATTGCCTCATTTGTTTCACCTTAATTTTTACGTCTTAATTAAAAACTACATATAAACTTTACGACTTTTTACGAAAATTAACCATGGACATTGAATACAATCAGATATCAGTATTCTGTTATGAAGTTTAATTGCTTTGTTAGAAATAGACTGACAGACTGTTTATAGCTAACCGCTCCTGTGTGTTCCGGTGTTTAAACCACGAATTTATTTAATTATATAATGATTTTATCAAATATTCATTGTGGTTTGACGATTCTTTTCGCGATATCGTATATTTTTGTTCTAAAATAAAAATTGATGTCTCGTCGATCTATTATTTTAAATTAATTAATATATACCTAGCGCGCAGTTCAGTAAAATTAACAACAGCCATATTCAATAATCACATCCGAAAATTTCATTTTTTTTACATGTAAAGTGCCACGTAATCTTTAGTCTTCAAAATGCCATTGAATCTCTAAATTAGTTACCAAAAGTAGAACAAAAATTTTTGTTTTTTTATTGTATTTTATTGCTAAAATTATATCTAAATACTTATTTATCAAGTTGAATTCAGCTAATTCTGCAAGTCTTTTTTTAACCACTTGGTTGTGGGCAGTCCTTCTATAAGTCTGGAGTGATAACTTGCATTATCCATTACTATTACACAGTTCTTAGGAAGAAGATCTATCATTTGTTCGAACCATTCTTGAAAGACATCAGCGTTCATGTCTTCATGGTAGTCACCGGTACGAGTTGATTCAAAAGTCAATAAACCACCTTCAACAAAACCGTCTGAACTGCCAATGTGTCCTATTATCAGCCTGCGTCCCTTTCCTGATGGTGGGTAGATAGTAGATAAGTAGATAGACTAGTAGATAAGTTATTTACAAAAGCGTGCCTTTGACTTGTAACAGTTTCATCATGATGTAAAATGTTTCATCAAGATAAAATATTTTTCTTTTTTGGTTTCTCATTTCCTTTATGGTTCTTAGAAAATGTCTTCTCCATATGACAATATCGCTTCTTTCTAATAAAATAGACTTTCTGGGATTCTTTTTCCAGCGGAAGCCTATTTCTTTTAAAAGTTTCCATAACGTACTTCGACTCATTTCTGGGTAATCCTTATCATCTCGAACTGAGACAAGAACTTTATCCAATGTTGGAAATTCTTGTCTAAAGAAGAATTCATGCACTCTCCGTCGAAGTCCTTCTTTAAAATGATATTCTATTTGAAATTTTGGTTTCCCTGGAGCATTACGTGGCATTTGAAAACTACCACATTTCTCTTCTTTAATAACTCTGTAAATCGTAGATTTCCCAACACCAAGTGTACTGCTAACTAACTCAACGGTCTCATCAACACTTTCACATAAACGTTTGTCTGTAAATGATTTAAAACAATTAAATATTAATGTTTTTTCATCAACTGTTAAAGGACCAATTTTTCGGCATTTACACGGCACTTCCAAATTTTCCAAACACTAGTATACACAATAAACTGCACCTTGCAACTGAAGTACCTACTTATGAACTGTTAAGAATTTTGAATACGCCATTGAATTTTCCATACAAAATGGAAAAACCCACTATCACATTTTCTGTGGAATAAGTTTAGAAGGTAACTATCTAGTCAATTACTGTCGTAGTTTCCTGGAATTAAAGAATTAAATGTTTGATTGTTGAAACCCTTACTTCGTGGAATGCACTCATTTCATATAAAATAAAACGTTTTATTTTATCTAAAGAATTAAACTTTATTTTGCAAATAGGTAGGTACTTATTAAACTTTTATTGGTTATATATAACCAATAAAATAAACATCTTACATTTCTTGCAAATTCATTAGTACCTGTTAACCTCCATCACTCCGACACTGGCAACCTTATTTAGGGATTAGTAACCCTCACAACTATTGTATTCTATTCTGCTCCAACCTTTATACCTGGTGGTCGTACTCAATTTAAAATTGTTTTCCTATATACTTCTGTAAACTTGTTGACAAATATCTGTTTTTCATTGAGTCACCCGTATCAACAGTTTAGGGATTTGCATACATAATTTATTGTTTTATTACTCTCTCATACATAAAAATACACTATAGACGTGTACATTCAGCCGCGGGGTCGCCAAACATATCAATTGTTTTTTTTATTACATCTTAATAAAAATTCTTGCCAACGTTATCGTTTCATTCTTGATGTAAATGTACCATGTTGCCAAAAAATAAAGTTATTATTCCGAAATTATTCCTTCTGGGTGTAACACTTCGAATGTCACTGAGTATATTTAAATATTTAATTTAATACGGAGTGTACAAGTGTACATTTGCCGAAATATGGAAGGAATATTTCCATGCAATTTTATTTGATAATCTCGTACTTAAACTTCTAAGCCTTTTTCTATTTTAAATCCATGAGTTCACCAAAGAGTAACTTTTGTTGTTGATTATAAAAAATCTGAATTTACAAACATGTTAACAATTTAATTACATTAAAAATTATGCTTATCTCATTTATTGTGAATTATTTTTAAAATTTTAATTAAGTAGCGGCAATCGCTTGCATGATACGAATAATCTCTGTCAGTAAACATGTAAATAATATTTTATATATTAACTTCCTAAGTAATCAAACATATTGCAATTGTTAATTAAATAGTTCTCGTATTACTGATAACTAACAACGATTGTAAAATTTTAGCAAATGCACGGAATGGATATTGTCATGGATGAATATAATGTCAATTATTCCGTTGACGTTAGGGCACATTCTATCAAATTTTCAATGTTATTTTTTTATTTAATTTAATTTTATTTAATATTTGAAATTTTTATATTGACAGAACAATGACAGAATGTCATTAAAAATATAGACATGCTTACATACTATTATATATTTAAATACTATACATACTTTAACGATAATGACGTTGGGGTATTCGGTAGCCAATTCGTCCAATTTGGGGCTAATCATTTTACAAGGACCGCACCAGGCAGCCGAGAAATCGAGAACTACCAAGTTGCCTCCAGCTTCGGTGAATTTAGCTTCCAAGTCATCCTAGAAACAGAAAAGAGAAAATTAACAATAATAAAAGAAAATATAGCACAATATTGAACAATTTTTTACTTTTTTAGCTATTTTAAATTCTAAAATAATAAATATATGTATACTTATTAATTAATAAATTTATTAAACTAATTTATTAAAATTTTAGCTTGTTAACTTAAAAATAAAATTCTTTTTAAATTAAATACAGTTTTTTCTTCGATTTCCAAATTAAAATTACCGTTTCTTAAATTCTGAAATTCAGTTAAACCTGTAGCGTTTTATATTTAATATCTATATAATAGTATAAATTCTGTTTAAAGTTTTGTATTCAGTTGTTTCAAAATATAGATGTTTTTGTCTCTGTTACATTGACAGGTAGAAAATTATTCCGGTTAAAACTAGGGACGTTAAAATAATCAATAAAATGCGTGTTGTTTATTCTCTGTATGTATTGTGAGGTAAAAAATTTCCAGTTACCCAATTTAAAAGCAAATATTTCAAGATGTTTTTTTATCGTTTCGTTGTTAGAACGAGGTCAGGAAAGGTATAATTGTTTGTTTAGGTTTGTAGGCGCAACTTTTTCTGAGACGTGAAAAGAATTTGAATTGGGTTTAGTTGCAGAGTGAAGCAAGAGATTTGAGACGAGAAAGATGTTTGGGCGACTTTGAATCAACAGTCGATTCATCTTTTTTTGTGTGTAATGTCTTAAGTCCGGTTAAGGTGATATGATAATACTGTTTGCATAATGCAGTTAAGAAAAGAGTAATCATCGAAAGATTTATGTAGTATACCGGAAACTGAAGGAATTTTGAAAAGCAACATATAGGTTGTCCCACCGGCTTCGTTGTGTTTGTCGTCAGTTTACTTCACCACCAAACCTGATTTAGGTTTTTTTATCGTTCGTTCCTGAGTATGGAAATGGTTTCTTTTTGTTCCAGTTGAGAGTTTTGTCCTTGCAGCTCCAATCCCAGAGATAGTAGTAAGTTTTTTTTAAAGTGGCGAAGTATATGAAAATAAGGTAAAAAATAAGGTTAATATATTAATTTTTCCAAGTAATATAGACATTTTTAATAATTGCTTTCATTAAAATAAAGGAATTTGTAATAGTTAAAGTTTTATATTATGTTAGAGGCGTGGCCAAGAAAATGTCATAATTTACTCTGTCTTACAATGTTATGTTGACATATGATATTTTGGCTCTCATCTGTTGTTGTAAACAATTTTAATTTGATAAAGAAAAGATATTTTATATATAAGGTTAAGTTTTACGATATTTTCATAACAAGGATATCCTTAATTTTTAATAATCTAATTTGGCCATATTAATAGATAACCTAGGAACCATTTCGGAAATTTTTGTAAACAGATAAACATGTAAGTTTTTGTTAATTTTGTATTGTTATATAGTGTGCTTGTTGTGCAGTCTGTATTTTTGATAACTGTTTGAGACAAAAATAAAAATTTGATTTGTTCTCTGATCCATATTTTTATTTTTATTTAGAAAAGTCTCCTAACCCTTGTATGTATTCTTGATTTTAGGGAAGAATAAATTTTCTTTTCTTCCAGCAGGAAGTTTTCTTCAAAGCGGCGTCCTTCAAAGCGTTTCTTCAAATATAAATAGCTAGAGGTAACCTTGTCTGCCATATCTTGTTTCGTTTTTGTTCCAGGAGATTTATGTAAGGATCCCTTTGTTTTCATTTTGTAGATACCCCAATCCAACCCATTTAGTTCAACTTATCCACGACCCAGCTCTCCAACAACCCCCTGAGTGTCGTACGCATCAGTTACGATTATTTTGTTTGCCCAATCTTCTATCCCCATGTTCTTACCCTGAGGTAAGCAAAATAGTTCGTTACAAACCCATAACCCAACCAGATTGTAAAATTAAAATTACCATTACTTAAACTAATTTAGAAAACTTTAAATTCAGCAGACGCAAGGAGTGAACACAAACCAGTACTGGCAAAATTTTCTCATTACTTTTCCATTTCTCATTATTTTTTCTCCACCGGCGAATTCTATTCGTTAAATCCCATCATTTGAGTTACCGTACGTCACGATTGAACCAATAGGAGCGGGGATATGTAACTAAGGCCCTTTTGGCATGATGCTATATTTGATTTTTCTGTGTCATTGTATTCTATTCGTTACATCCTTCAAAACAAACGACGAATTGGAAAAAGATGAATTGAAAAAGAAGACAAGTTTACGCCATGATGCCATTGTATATGGTTTCGGTCATGACTAAAGTTTCTAAAGCATGGTAAGTTACGCGTTGGCTGGTAACGCAGATCCAATGCTTACCGACATTGGCGCCATATCTGTCTGGCCCAACTGACCCATACTCTACTTCCCATCATTGCTTCATTAATTTCCTCGTAGGATTGCTCTACTTCCTCATCTTCGTGATCTTATGTCAGGGAATAGATCTTCATAATTTTACACGTATAACGTTGGTTAACCACAGTAATGACCGTTATATAAAACAAACTTGTGAATTCTACACCTATGATTCAGAAATTATATATTTATCAATCCAGTTACATATTTTTAAACATTTATTCTTAAAATAGATTATTAACATTACGTAATTTTCCTTTTTATATCGTCTAACCACATTCACCTCATATTAGTATCCTTAAACTTATTTTACGAATTTACATAAAGGAGAATTTATGGTTTGGAATTTTAGAATTGTGGTAAAGATTATCTACTTAACGATTTATACGAATTTATAAGAAGGGAATACCAACATTTTTTTGACATATATACCAACAATTGTGTAATTCCAAACTGAACTAAACGGCAATTACCATTTATCACGTATTTTCCAATAATTTATTTATATCTTTAATCAATCATTCTCTTTGCCTTTATCCCTATGCGGAGACAACTTCCCTAATTACATTTCTATCTTGGGCCATACCAATATCAATACTCTGTACCGACATATCCTGTCTAAGCATCTCCCACAGGTCTTCCTTTCCTACTCCTCCCAGCAACCTGCACACCAGCAATTCTTCGTATTTGGTGATTAAAGACTCGACGTTCGATGCCCGAATCATTTTAACCTATGTTCTTTCATTATGGCGTCAATTTATGCCACCTCTAGACTTCCCTAACATCTTCTTTTAACAACCCTAGAGTGTCTACTTCTCGAAGTAAGTCGCCCCTTGGCATTTCCATTTTAATTTGCCCTTGCTACCTAATGTCATTGATTTCTTTTTCCGCCTTTTCCCCCACAACTTATTTTCTCCAGTGTGCGAGGCTTTTGGTCAATCTGGTATCATCTTGTCTGGCAACATGAAACACTACTTCAATGAAAGAGGGCGTTATATTACGTCCTCTACTTTTTTCTTCTGCGTATTTTTTCATTGCTGACGCGATATTTTAAAGCTATTCCCAGCAGAAGTCGTTCCACTACACGCTGTTACTCTCATTTTGTTGGCGGCTTTTGTGGTTAACGTAATTATCTCTAGACCATATGTCATCACTGGAAGGATGCAAGAATTGAACAATTTTGTTTTGAGATTTTTATCTTGTGTCCATCCTTGAAAGAAAGGCCTTGGGATTTGTGACTAAATCACGAGACATTGACTCCCTTGCATTTCTCTATCAATGTTCGAATGTTCAGAATATGTCCCCTAATATACTCATTCTTAATTTTATGCTTTTTTGTCACTCCACTCATCCATCTAAGCATTTTCAATTACACCACATGCATTCTTCGTTTCTCTTGTTTTTAAATGCTTAATATTCAGTTCCGTACATTATAGAAAATAAAAAGAAAGAGTGGTTTACTGATAAAATCCTAAATATGATGGAGAATAGAAGAAGAGCTAAAAAGAGAGACATGTGGGAATATAAACGAATTGACAAAGAAATAAGAAAAACTATTAGAGAAACCAAAAACAAACGGTTGGAATATCAATGCAGAGAAATAGAATCATTGGAAAGTAGACACGACTCGTTTAATCTTCACAAGAAGGTAAAAGAGGCAACAGGAATGTACAATCCCAAGCGATCAGGACATATGACTGATGATCATGGTTACCCGGTAATAGACATTGAACAAACAAAGAATATATGGTAGAGATACGTTGAGAAGACATTCGATGACGCCAGAGATAACAACCAGATAATTATGAAATACGACACAGGACCATCAATCACTCAAGGCGAAGTCAAAACCGAAATTAAAGCAACCAAAGCAGGTAAAGCACCAGGGCAGACAACTTTCATTCGGAATTTCTAAAAATCATGGGAGACGAAGGAGTAAAATGGCTTACGAGAACGTTCAATAAAATCTATGACTCGGAAAAAATCCCAGAGAGCTGGTTAAAATCTACATTTATTGCTGTACCTAAAAAACCTAATGCAAAAATCGTGAAGAGCATCGTATTATCAGTCTAATGAGCCACATTCTTAAGACCTTCTTAAAGATAATACACAGAAGAATTTATGAAATGCGAGTTACAGATCTGACGAACGCAGTTTGGATTCAGGGATGCGTTAGGTACAAGAGAAACCTTGTTCGCGATTCAGGTATTATTTCAAAGGTGCAGAGACGTCAACTGCGATATTTATGTATGCTTTATCGACTACCAGAAAGCTTTAGATAGAATCAAGCACGATAAGCTCATGGATATACTAAAGGCAACTGATCTGGATAACAAAGTCCTTCTAGTAATCAAGAACATATACAATCAGCAACCATTCGGGTGAAAGACCAACTAACAGAGGAAGTTGCAATAAAGAGAGGAGTACGACAGGGTTGCATACTCTCTCCCCTATTATTTAACGTCTATGCGGAACACGTCATGAACCAGGCCTTAGAGCATATCGAAGAGGGTACTCTCATAAATGGTGAGCGCCTGAATAACATCAGATATACAGACTACACCATCATCTTTGCAGATAGTTTATGTTTACAGACACTAGTAACGCAATTGTGGAGAATCAGTCAAGAATACGGACTTGATTTTAACATCAAGAAAACAAAGTACATG